CAATGGAAATCAGCCGTGAATCGTCCTATTTACATGTACCCCCGTCCACGAATGAATAATTCGAAATTGATCCCCGTTTGATAAATGAAGAAACTGCTTGGGAACACCCGCTGTGTACTTAAACTACGAGTTTATTGCTTTAAATAGCGTTAGGATATTAAAGAATCATCGGAATTACGGGTATCAGTTAGATTCCTAAATCGTTGGTTTCTTAGAGGATTGACATATCTCGAATCTACAAAGAAATTGATTCTAGAAATGAACTATTTATTAACGTTAAAATTATTGGCTTTTAATATATGCATGTAATAATATAACTAAATGCGTTATATATACGATTAAGATAAAATTAGTTTGCCGAAAAGTTGATGAAAAAGTCACTGACGATTGTTAATAGTACGATGATAAGATCGTTGCAGAGGTTGTTGTAACTTGATGGCTCAAGTTGGCAGAAAATTAATTCACCGTGACAGTCGATGTTTCGCCAGAGTTACTGCTGCTCGACGAACTTATCAATCGAGTTTCCAGCAATTAGAAGTTGCTTCGTTATGTAAGCTTTCTTCGCGGCCCTGCTTTCTCGTGCTAAATTTCCTGTTTGCCATTGTCGTCCTCGCCGTTAATACAGTTCGTAAAAAATTCCGCTTTGTGTGAAAATACCGAATTACTTGTTGTCTCTTAGAATCAGATTCTAATTAAGAAAGAGTAACCAGAAGATTCGAAACGAGTTAATAAATTATTTCTAATTCGATTCCAAATTGGTTGAACTTTCCTAGTCCTTTACATTCAGCTTTATCGTCGAATCTTATGCAGTGAACTACTAGTCAAAAATAGATGAGCAACACAGTGACAGATGTCGAAAATCATTTCTCATATAAAAAGCATCTCTCTCCGCTTGAATAAAGCAAAATATAAAAGATCGACCTTTGGACAAGATTCTAAGAAAGAACGAGTGAAAGATCAGAATACTTAAAAAAAAAAATTCTGGTTACGTAAGGAACGTCTATTTCGAAGCTCGAAGAAAGGAAAGGGTAACTGTCTGGTATTTTCCATAAACCGCTACTTCTCTCGCCTAAGCTTTTTCGTTATTCTTTCAACATTCCATCCTACGATCCACTTCAACGGATTACCAGGAAGAAAAAGAAGAAACAGTTTTCCACTGAATCTATGTACAAAAACCTACCCCAACCCTATTGCTAGCCATCGAACAGAAAGTTCGATTAACTCGCCCATTTCCCATCAGACGCAGACGTTCGAGTAATATCTCGCAGCTGGAACTACCATCGAATCGACAGCATAGCCGATATGTCCCAGGGACAGGCGGATAATCGCGAGCAAATATACAACGGCCAAACGAAAAACCTTCATTGACAGATCTGTCAAACGAGGAGAAACTCGACAACTGGCCTTAATTAACACAGCGGCGTGTGTTCGAGGTCTTCTTCAAAATCCTCGCTTTGGAAAATTCAGTCTAGGTTCATTTTGCAATGAACGGTAGCCTGTTTGGTGATTCTGTATGAATTGTACTCTTGCAGATAACGGTAGGAGCTGGTACATCGTAGAAAATGTTGTATGATACGTATCTTTCTGTATTAGTACTCCACAGCCGTGGAATTCCATTCGGAACCATCAAGTCACTTAGCGTTTGTAATTAGTGTAATAAGCCGGAATACTTTATGCGATATTCTATTTCTGCCAATGTGTCCCAGAGATTCTAAGGTTTGAAAAAAGTCAACTTTCTATTGCATTATCTATTCTTTACCTGATCTTCTCAAAATTTTGTTATCTTTCAGAAAACTTTTTCCATATGTATATATATATATTTAAATTTTGATTATAAAAAGTGTACTTAAATATAACAAATATATATATATATGTGTGTGTGTAATGTCAGCTCTTGTAAAATATCCACATCTATGCAAGACTACAAAGAAATCCGTGTTATACTCTTTTATAACTATGTCCTTCTCTCTAAGCAGTGTGCACCGTCATATGGAAAGAGAACATCGAAACGTGCGTTGCACCTGAAGGGTCAAAATTGAAATTCGACGAGTCGTCCTGCACAAGTGTAACGCGAGGTCGTTCGAACGCGATAGATCGATCGCGCTATACCACATCGAGAGGAATGCGATACGGGATGCGAGTCCGTGGGTAGGAGACCAGAGAAACGGGGGCGTGCAAAGCGGTTGCTAGTGGAGGTGGAGGCGTTGATGGCTAATAATAAAAGCAAAGGAATGTTTGCTGTACGCGTTGGAAACGCGTCAGCAGGACAGGGGAAGAGAAGAACGATAGGAGACAGTGATAAAACCGGGACAGTGATACGGATGGAAAATTGATGGAAACAAAGGCTGACGGAGACAGTTTCCAAGATATATTCTTGTTCATAAGTTACAGAATATAAGAGAACTTTAAGTGAAATAATAATAATAACCCTGTTGTTTTCTTCGGATCTATAGAAACGAGAATGGAAACCGATAGAAACACTTCTAACGATTTAAATGAAATTATTTTATGTTTATATATCTCATATATATATTAAAACGATATTTGTTTTATTACAGCCAAATACGAAACAGAACTTACTTACAGAAGGGTTATCGAAAACCTTTCCAGCAACCTAATAGAAATAAAGATTTCCAGATACAGGACATGTCGTTTTAAAATTCCTCTTGCATATTACAAATTATACGAAGCAAACCATATAACCGCCAGACATGCCATCAACCACGGTCAAAAGCGAAACATCCCCGAAGATAAAACCAAAAACGGGGCCAAAACCGGACCTGAAGCGTGTCCGTAGAAAAGAACAAAATATAAAGGACACAGAGGCGAGTGACGAGAAGAGAGATATAAAAGTGTAAGCGGGAAACAAGTGGAAGTTATGGAGATAGTACGTGACGAACACGTAAAATGTGGAAAATCCGGTGAAAACGAGAAATGGCTAAGAACGAGAGAATATCTGCCACTTGACTTTAGAGTTTCTCGTGGCCAGACGGAAGCAGCCTAAACGAAGATAAACTGCGGCCTCAAAGAAACACGCAGGATAAGGATAGCAAAATGCGAAGATTTCGCTGGAGATAGCAATGTTACGTGTCGCAAGAAACATCAGAGTGGTTTTTTAAGGGTTGAAACTGGTCTCGTGCCGATTTTACGGAATCAGGCGTGCAGCCAAGTGGAATCTGTGCTCGATGGAACGCACGTGATCGTTACAAGTGGAATCTTTCTTTTTTCCCTAGCAAAGGAATCGCGCCGATAAACGCGGCTTCCTTCCACCCTATTTTTTCCCTTCTAGAATTACACGGGTTGGTTGCAACCGTAGTTTTTGCCGAACATTTGTAGATTTATATGTGAAACGTGAACAAAAACACCGTGACTGCATTATATATTAAATATTTTCAAAGGGGCAGTCAGCTTATCGATCTCACCCTGCAGCGTGATGCAAGTTTTTGCATAGCGTGTGCTTTCAGGCAAGCGTTGCTTGCAAAATGGAATTTTTAAGCTTGCGGTTGAACTTCGACGATAATGATTAGGGCTCGTCGATTGATCAAGGTGCTTAAAACTAGTATTCTTAAAGAAGAAACGTCTTTATAAGGGATACAGGTGTACAAAAATACAGTTCGAACGTTCCAATGAATGAAAAGTTTGAAACCTGGTGCGAAGAATGGAACAGCTGATGGAAAAATTACTTGAAAATTTTCAAAGAGTAAAGAAACATTTCTACAGACTCGTACAAAACTATGTAATCTAGTAATTATGGAATCTAGCAATGAATATTCAATGCCGACTAACAGAAAAATCTTCAGAACCTACCAACTTACTCCGAAACGCGCATCCTTCAAGTCCAACATAATGGGAAATTACATGTACGTAATTATACAGGATCCTTCGAGAATCTCTAATTCAGGTAAACTCAACCCGTATCAAGAAAGAAATTTTCAAAACTTAACTTACTTCAAAATACTCATCCTCCGGATCAAAGATAACAGGATTATACGTATACTTATACGAGACCAATTTATGCATGAAACACATAGAGGACTCAGACTCGAGAACCAGTATATTGTTACAGACCAAAGAACCTTAAACGGAACGTATCTCAGAGTGCTTGCAGTTTCGACAAGAATCTTTACGATCCACCGACGGAAATCGAACTTCAACCACTATCCTGACATAAAGCTTCATAGAAGGGACGAAGACGTTCGAATGGGAATTTCGCGGGGACCTCTGCCATCTCGCGCCACGACGGGGCG